TATAAACATTTCTAGTCAACTATGTATGTATTATAATTCAAATAGAAATATCAAAAATAAATTCGAGAATATTAAATAAAATTATTACTTGGATTGAAAAATTTATTCATAAAAAAATTGTTGCTAAAACTCTATAGTCTAAAAATATTTTTATTTTAATTGAAAAAGTCATCTGACTTTTATTAACTAATAACAAGACTTTTTTTTATTCTAATATTCTTTTATTATATCAATTAAATAATATTTACCAATATTTCTTTGAAAAGAAGATAAATTTTGTTGTTTATCTTTTGTTGATAAATTAATTGGTTTTTGTTCGTTATCAGAATAATATATTTTTGATGGTTTATATGTATCAATATATCTATTTTGATGTTGATGTTGTTGTTGTTGATTTAATTTTGGTGGTGTTATTGGTCGAAATGTATATTGTAATGTATTATATTCTGGTGTATGTCGTATTTCTGATGGAAATTTTTCAAGAACATATCGTTTTTTTGGAGCTGAAGGAAAAAACATATCAGATTCAAAATAACAATGATCACAATCAATTGAGAACATCATATATCTATTCACTAGTATTTGTTTTGTTTATTTTTTTACTTTATTCAAAATGATTAGTAAAGACAATGAAAAGATAAATAAAACTTATAAATTTAAATCGAATTTAATTTACATTTACTCACATTCAGAGGATTCATTAAGTGGAGAAATCATATAAACAATAGGTTTCATCTTTAAGTAGTTTAACGTATGTCATCATCATCATTCGTCGAGGTTTTTTTTTTTTCAATTCTATCTATGATAACGTTTCATACAACCTTCATGTTTGACATTTTATGATGATTATATTCATGTTATCTAGAATTTGATTTCTTTTCATTTTTTTTATTTAATCATATAACTTGGGTAATTGTAGAGGATGATTGTTTTTTTTTTTTTTTGTATCTACGGTCTCTCAAAATATTAATCTATAGATGTTTCATAAAATTAACATGTCAGCGTTGGATGAGTTCGAATCGTGACTCGATCTCGAGTCACGTTAGTTTAAGAGTACTTCTCCGCGGCTCCTAGATTTCTGGAAAACGAATCTTCAGAAATATTTGAAACTTTCGGGATGGTTAGGTTTCGATAAGTAGAGCAAAGGTTGTCGTAACCTCGAATTTCTTGGATGCTGTCTTGAGAACTTTAAGTTTAGATTTTTTTTTTACTATCTTGTAGAACTGTATTAAAATGGCATAAAAACTAGGAATAAAATATCGTGTGATGAAAAAACTTGTTGTTAACGTTCTTTATAAAACTTAACTCGTCAGCTGTGATGTAGAATGTGAACTATAAGTTTTGTGTCGTAGCTTTAAAAAAAAAATTTCTATTCACTTTGCGATCGAGTAACATTATTTTCGAGGTTAAAAAAGCCTAGAACAAACATATTTTAATAATAATATTTGTTCTATAAATAGTGATTTTTTTTTTCTTAAAGCGATTGAATAATTTCTTCTTTCGCGTTATGTACCCGTTAGGTGTCACAGTAGGAATTACGTTTTAATTATTTTTTCAATGGAGGATTGAGGGAGAGGAACTGACAAAGCGGTAGCCGCCACGCCCTGGGGAAATGTTCTTTTTCTTCTTAATAGAAACGAATTTTTTTTTGCAATAGATTCTAGTCTACGAAATATTATTGTTTTTTTTTTGTTGATTAAAAAGTCTATATGAAATATCCTACTAACAAAACTTGTATCTATAGAAGTTTTGGTCTTTTTTTTTTGTTTTGTTAAATATGATCTAGATGAATTTGATATTTTTGTTTTTTGAGACAATCTAATCAAACACTGAATAATTAATGAATTTCTTCTATGATTTTTTTTTCATTCATAAAACAAAGACTGGTTATGAAAATCACCTTAACAAAGTTTGATATCCATGAGTCCTTTTGTTTTTATGTTTAATACAATATAATCAATGTAAACTAACTGAAAACTATTGAATTGTGTTTTTAAAATAAAATAATCATAAAAATTTCATCTAAGATGTATTGACTACATTTATTATATTCTGAAAGACAAATTAACTTATACACTACACGTTACAATAGAAAAACTAATATAAATATCTATATCGAATTATATCGTGAAATAAAACAATATTTTATTTAAATTTAACAGTAAAAAAAAAAATCTTTGTTAGAAAGAAAATATTCACATACTTGCTGTTTGATACACATCCCTATTCAATCGTTTCGATATCATATCAATAATGATCATTGATTATGATACTTCTATCTCTCTCTCTGTCTATAGAGAACACATTAAAAAAACAAAACATTCATATGAAATAGTAGTTTATTAAGCATATAAGATATGTTTCTCACTCAATTCAAAATGACAAGGTCATTGAACGATTTACTTTTTACTTTTGTATATAAATCAGTAGACGATTGTTTTGCATGTTTTCTATCATGATCTGTTTGATTAATATTGAATAAAGGACGATTATCTTGATCATTGTTGTACATTGAAAATAAAACCAACAAAAAATAGTATGCTCGATTTTGATCGATTAATAAAAAAAAAAAATAATTTTTTCTGTTCTACGAAAGTATATTTCAGTCCTCATGGTCTTTTTTTTTTTTGTTCTTTTTCTTTTCAAGGTGATAGTAGGCGTTTTTTGTGTTCTGTTTTTTGTCTTTGTGGTTGTACTTGCACAATCAAAATGTAAGAATAACTAAGGTGAATTCATCAACAAAAAAAAAGGTATATATATACACAATTTTTCAGTAGTTTTTATCATAACAAAGTATAAAATCTTGAATAATTTTATTAATAATGTGTAGTGACGCTGCAAAAGTACTTCTTGCTGAAACATGGTCAGAAGATATTGATCCAACTGGATGGTGGATGAGTGAAAAACTTGATGGTGTTCGGTATGAGAAAAAAAAAATCTTATTTATTCTATTCTTTTTTTTTGTATTAATATATTTTAGAGCATATTGGAATGGAAAAAATTTTTATTCACGTCAAGGAAATCTTTTTCATGCTCCTGATTTTTTCAAAGCTGCTCTACCAAAAGTACCACTTGACGGAGAAATTTGGTACGAATTTATTTTTTTTTCTTTTAATTGTTTTAGTAGGTTATTGTTTTTTTTTTTTCATTACTGTCTAGGTGTGGTCGTGGTTTATTTCAAAAATGTGTTAGTATTGTTAAAAAACAAGCAGCTAAAGTTGTTCCAGATGATTATAAACTTTTGACATATTTAATTTTTGATGCACCAACTCATGGTGGAAAATATGAAGATCGTGTTAAATGGTTACAAGCTAATATTCCTCAAGATGATGATAAATGTTTTGCTACTGTTGTTGGCATCAAAAAATGTGAAGGTTTAGCACAACTCAAACAATTTTTAGCTGATGTAAATAAAGCTGGTGGAGAAGGTATTATGCTTCGTAAACCAGGTAGTCTTTATGAACATAAACGTTCAACGACATTACTCAAAGTGAAAACTTTTTATGATGAAGGTAAATAACAATAATATTTTTACAACAATAAAAATCAATTATTTATCATTTTTAGAAGCACTTGTCGTTGGTCATAAAGCTAGTAAAAGTTTAACAGGAATGGTTGGTGCACTTGAATGTGAATTACCTAATGGAAAACGATTCGATGTTGGTAGTGGACTTAATATGGATCAACGTCGAAAACCACCTAAAAAGGGTTCAGTTATAACATTTAAATTTCAAGAATTATCTAATAATGGTCATCCAAGATTTCCTGTTTTTCTTCGAGTTCGTACAGATTTAACATGGGATGATGTGCTCGAAGCAGCTAAAACAAAAAAACCTATGAGTGTAATACAAAAAGTAATACCATCAGCTAAATTATCAAAACAACATTCAATATTATTTTCTGTTGTACCATCACGTGATGTTACTAGTGGAAAAAAAATTGTTACATCTGATGATGATGATGATGAAGCAACAACACCACCAACAACATCATCATCAAAAACTACAGATACACGTAAAATGTGTCAATTTGGTGAAAATTGTTATCGAACAAATCCTGATCATTTTAAACAATATCAACATCCATCATCAACAAAACCGTCTAAAATAACAGAGAATGAATCGAAAACAAAACCACCTTGTGCTTTTGGTGCCAAATGTTATCGTACAAGTTCAATACATTTAGCAACATATTCACATCCATCGAAAAATGAAACTGAAGAAGAAATACTTGATACTCGAGAATTAATTGAATCTGAAGAACCTGTTTCACCAACAACTATTGATAGTTTATTAATTAAAGATAAAAACAAAGGTGTTACATTCGATGATGATGATGATAATAGTAATGATAATCAAGATCAAGAAATGATTTCACGTCCAAAAAAAGAATGGATAAATCTCGAAAATAAATTAAAAGAACAAAGTAAACGTTTAACTTATCTTGAAGAAATGTTTAAAACAACTAAACGATCAAATTCAAACAATGGTGATGATGATACTAATCAAAATAATACAAAACGTCTTAAAACTGATTAAATTTTGTATATAATAATTATATATTGACATAAAAATAAAAAATTATGTGTTGTTTTTTTATTTTCGTTGTATTGTATAGAAAAAAAAAAAATTCTCATAATTTGAGACACATATACACAAACAAAAAAAGAAAAGAAAAAGGAAGCAATAATAATAATAATAATTTAGAAGACAATAAATACATAAAAATAAAATAGAAAGAAACAATTTTGTTTATTTTTCTTTCATTTCGACAATGATTGTCATTAGTAAGAAATATTTCTTATTTACACACACAGGGATTTGCGCAAGATAGGTGACTAGAGTGCATAGAGATATATGGCATATTCATGTGTGGTATGTGTGTTCAAGGACGAAAACAAAACAAAAAAAAAGAAAACAAAAAAGATAAAGAAAAAACAACAACAACAACAACAACAACAACAACAACACAGGGATATTGGCAAAATGTCATATTCACTATCATACCGTTTGTTTATCATCAGTTGTTCTTTTTTGTATTATATTACTAATATTTTTTGATGATTTTATATATTGTGAATCATCTGTTAATAAATCATTTGTTGAACTTTGTTCATAAACAGTCATTAAATTATTTCGTTGATGTTTTATTTGATTATTATCATCTATATCAAAATGATGTGTTATTAATTCTGGTGATTCTTGTATATTGGAATGAAGTACAACATTATGTTGTAAAGATGAACCTAATGTTTGATGTTGTATCACATTTGCTGTTGTTGTTGTTGTTGTACTAACAGGTTGACTTATTGTTAATGAATCACGTGGTGTTATTGAAATAGGTAATGGAAAATCACCGAGTTCTTCATCAATTTCATCATCGTTTGCATTTGAATTTCTATTATTAACACGATCCTTTCAAAAAAAAATAAAATTAAATAAAATTAGATATGAAAACTATCAATAATTGAAAATAATAACTATCCATCGAGTCCAAAATTTGACTACCAATGACAAAATACTTGCAAATCGTATTTTTGATGTAAAAATCAAAAGATTCTTAGAAGATCTTTTTTCGTCTGTAGAACTTTATAAAGCTCGTCGCACTGATCATTTCGATAGAGATTCAGATTTACTCAATAAATCATGATGCTAGGATCAAAATACTCAAAAATGTCAACTAACATCCACGAGGGAACTACCCGAGGTGTTAAAAAGCTTTTGAACTCAAATTTTGTCCACAACTACGGTATGTATAGACTAGAAAAAGCCTAAGAAGATATTTCCTCAAGTTGTGATTTAGCTGAGATGCCGAGACTATTTACTATAATTTTTCTGTATGACCCTCTTTGTACCAATAAAATTAAAGTTTAAAATTTTGACCTGAAACTTTGCCTATATCAAGGTCTCAACTAGATTAGCTTATCTACAAAGTTTCACAATTTTTGGACATATTATCTATTTTAGCATACTGTTGTCTCGGAAAAAATTTTAAACTTTGATTTTATTGGTAAAAAGAGGGTTATACAGAAAAAGTATAGTAAATAGTCTCGGCATCTCAGCTAAATCACAACTTGAGGAAATATCTTCTTAGGCTTTTTCTAGTCTATACATACCGTAGTTATGAACAAAATTTGAGCTCAAAAGCTTTTTTAGCATCTCGGGTAGTTCCCTCATCAGTAGTAGAACCCATCAGATCCAAAAAATTTTGCACCCGGTAGGCTCTACTCAGCAGCAATCAGAAAAAAACTGAAATTTTTGATTATTTTAGTCCTAGCATCATAATTTGTTGAGTAAATTTTAATATTTTGTTTTTTTTTTCTTTAAAGAAATAATTAGCACAACGAGCTTCAAGCATTCCAAGAATTTTGTGTTGTTATTTTCGATTGATAAGTATTAGTGAATCCGAATCCAATTGAATCGTACTTTTTTATATTCTAATCGGAATTGGATAATCGTTTCGAAGATACGAGATACTTACAATATCATGTTTATATGAATTTTTCTTTCTTCTTCCAACTCCACAACATCGCCATTTTCGACGATTTAAAATAAAATGTCTAGCTGGTAAACTTAAACGATTTATGGCAGTAGTTGCATGACCACCAGGAACAATACTTGTACCACCACTAGTTATTAATGTATCTGGACCAACTTCAACAAATTCTCGATCCTAGATAAAAAAAAGAAAATCAATTTTTGGAAAGAATTTTTCTTTTTTTTTGTCATACAGTTGTTAATTCTAAACAACGAAGTAAATGATGATGTTGAAGTTCAAATGGATTAACAAGATTTTTATCAACAGAAGCATTTGGATCATCACGATATTGTTCATGACGTCGTTTAGCTGCAATAAATGCATTACTTGTTGCATTACGTGCTAAACGTATACGTGTTAGACGTGCTTTTCGTTGAGCTTTCATTTTATCTGCTCGTTGACTTTGATGATAAATACGACTAAAATTTGATACAATAACAGGTACAGGAAGAGCAATAACAAGTACACCACTTAAACTGCATACACCACCAACAATTTTGCCTGCCCTAGATTAATTAATTAATTAATATTAATTGTCGTTTTTTTTTTTTATCTTTCATTGACTTACCAAGTTTTTGGCACTATATCACCATATCTAAATAAAAAAAAAAGCAAAAATATGTAAACATAATCGAGATTTATTAAATATTGAAATCTTTAAAAAAATTATATATTGTATATAAATGTAATCAAGTAAAAGTCATTTATTGATTTATATCTATTTCATCAATAAAATGTCATTTCTCTAATATAGAACATACTTATGTTAAAATATAAACAAATATAAGAACGGAGATCGTTTTGACCTTGAGACAAAATTTTGTTTTTAAGCATATAAACATCATGCTCATATTTACGTCAGCAATATGGTATCATGATAAATTGTGTCTTTTAACACGATCAGTTATTAATATGGCGATAATTATTTTGGTAATTAGTATTCCAAACACAATAGTCAACATGTCGTCAAATATACATTAAATTGATGAGTTCGCATATATTTCTATCCTAAACCATTGATATGATCAGTTTTATTTCTATTCATCTAATAATTTTCTTGCCCTTTTATTATAGTACCAAATAGTATAATAGAGAAAATTTTTTTGTTTTGCTCTACTTAATCAAATAAACTATGAGTTACAATCAAATGTATTGGATCGATTTTCACACATAAAAGTAAAACAAAAAAAAAGTATATTCTAACAAAATTAGACTATTGTCGAAATACTTTCTCTTCATTGCTCTATATTATATAGATAAAATTAGTCAAAATTACTGACATTACATACACCTTATGGGAATTTCTGCATAATCAAGTTATAGCTTGACCTTGACTAAGTTATGTATCGTTAATGATTTCCACAGTGTTTTTTCTCAATAATGTATTTAGTATATTAACAGCTACAAAGAGACAATATCATATGAAAAAAACTATTTTTTTTAATAGAATTTGATATTATTAATGAAGGCCGATAAAAAGAAAAAATAAGAGAATTTTTCAATTATCAACGCATCGTTTCACTAATAAATTTTAAGATGAAATCAATCAATTCGAATTCATCATTTTCTCCTTATATATGACCTTCAAAATTCCATATCTAATCGATAGTTATATATAAGTTTTTTTTTTCTTGAAAATAAGGTCATATGTCCCCAGGATTCTTATTATCAATTCTCATAGTTATGTTTGTACTCGTTTATATACGTAGATATATATATGTATATTCATTCTTACCCAAGTGTTGTCATTGTAACAATAGTATACCAAAATGCTGCTGGTATAGATGTAAATTTTGTATTAACAACACTTTTTTCTGCATAATACATAACAGTAGCAAATATAATAATAGCCATTGTTAATGAAAATAATAGAAAACCAAGTTCACTAGCACAACTTTTTAATGTATAACCTAATACTCTTAAACCTTGACTATGACGAGAAAATTTAAATATACGAAAAACACGAAATACACGTAGAGTAACAAATGCTCCGCTAACTTCACCCTTTTCACGCATAAATAATCCAATATAATATGGCATTATAGCAACAACATCAATAATAGACTAAACAAAAAACAAAAAAATGTTCGTTTTTTTTTTTTTTCTTCGTTTTCTTTTTCTATATTTTCTTCTTACCATAACAGATCGAACAAATTTTAATCGATCAGGTGCAGCATAAAGACGAAGAAAATATTCAACAGTAAAAATCATAACACAAGCTGTATCAAGACAAAAAAATTGATGAGAAAAACGTTCACCACATGTTCTTGAATAACCAGTTTTAGGATCCGTTCCACATGATATTGTATCTAAGACATTAGCAATAACACTAACAGCAATAAAAAATCCTGTTACATAATAAAATACAGATGCCATTGTTGATACTTGAGGATTTTCAAATGCACGCCACATTGTTTCACGTAATGATTGTGGTTTTGGTTGAGCTTTATCATCATCTTCATGAAGACGATCATCAATAAGTCTTTCATTATTTTCACGTTTACGATCTCGATAATCTTCATAACAACAATCACCAATTATATCAGGTAATATACCAAAAAATGCTAATTCTTCATCATATGCAGCAATACATTCATGTTTTGGATAATGTAATTTACCAGTACGATAAAAATTTAATATTATACGAAATACATCTGGATCACGATCAAAAAAATATTCACGTGTATCTTCATCATAAAAAAATTCTTTTTCATTTGAACCTAATAATGAATCAGGATATTTTTCTAATGTTGAACGCCAACATTCAAATCGACGACCACTAACATTTATTATAATTTTTTCATCACAACGACGTTCACCACTACTTGTTGATGTACCATCTATTGGAATGCGAAATGGTGGTGGTGGTAAAGAATTTTTAGCTAATGGAACCCAACCAATAGCTGCTGCTCGAGCAAATGGAAGCCATGCAGCTACACTAGCCATTTTATGTCTATTATGGTGTTACCTTGAAAGATAAAAAAAGAAATATATTTTATTTTATTATACTATTATTTTTGTTTGTATCATACCAATACTAATGATCTTATAATAAGCACTAAGAGAAACTGTCGATCGAAATTATATAAATGTTAGAAATTAATAACATCTTATATAAAATTGACTCGATTAGACTATGTATCGAATGCTTTTATACTAATGCAGATTGATATAAATCTTGTACATATGTAATAAGATCTAATTTTTTTTTCTGTTTACATTAAACATATGTTCATTATTGATGTATTTCATTCGTCATCTTATTTTTCCATTCTGAGTCTTTTCTTTTCTTCTGATTAGATGTGTCTTTTTTTCTTTTTTTTTTTTTTTTTTTTCTTTTCTTATTTAGATGTCCATTAATTTTATATAACAACTAATATAAATCATATAGACAAATCGAACAAAAGAACAAAAAAAATAAAAATAAAAATAAATAAATAAATAATAATATTGATAATTGCTAATTTCTAATACAAACCTACTGTGCGACTATTTGCACCTCTCTACTTGATTCGTAACAATGAATAGCGTCTTGCTGATGTTATTTCGATTGTTATTACAAAACATTAAATTTCATAGAAGAGCAGATGTTCGCCGTCTATCAGCATAATACACATATATATCTTCAAAAGAGAAAAAAAAAAAAAAAAAAAACTCAAAAAAAGAAAACGACACATAAAAAAGTCGGTGTATGTGTATACACATTCGTATTTGTATCGTGTGAATTGGATGGTAGGAAACGGACAATAGAACAAGAAAGAAAAAGCAAACACGAAGAAGAAGAAGAAGAAGAATGGAAAGACGAGGAATTCTACTACCGCTCTGGTGAGTGTCAATTCGAAGAAACATTACGGCTGCCAGGAACAACACACAAAGAAGAAAACGAAGACGATGCAAGATATAGAACATTGAGAAGAAGAGCTGACGAGAGGGAAAGAACTCGTTGTAGATAGAAGAAAAGCGACAAGATATCTCAATCAATGCTGTATATAGGGGCCGTGCATCCAGCGAACGCTCTGAAGGAGAACTGGAGAGACCTTTGTGTGTTTGTGTTCCATTATGATTATTTTCCGGTAGCCTCGTTTTTTTTTCTGTTGTTACTACTACTGTTAACATTGTCGTCATCTCGTCAAGCACGACAACCTTCAAGCCACATGTGCTTTCTCTCTCTCTCTCTCTCTCTCTCTCTCTCTCTCTCGTTCTCGTATCATTTCTCGTCATCGAATGCTCAACCAGAATAAAAAGCCAACGAACTGATTTTTTTTTGCTTGTTCTGTTTCCTATTTTTCTCTCTATTCACTCTTATTTTATGTTTCCTTCTCTTTCTTCTTCCTACATTCATCATCTGCTAGACTCGAGTAGTAATAATGCCTGTTGGAATTTGAGAATAATTTTGATTATTGAACGGGCGTTGTGACATCAAGTAAAAAGGAAAGAAAACGTATATATATGTATATATATATATATATCAATGCTTGTATACAAAAAACTGAAGGCTGATCAATAATACTACTTAGAAGCAAAAAAGAAAATAGAGGTCAATGTATGATTACATCGATTTATCGTATTGGTAAATAGTAAAATGATAGAAACAGAAGTGTCACCATCTGTTCGATATGGAAGATACTTGAATTTTTTTCTCTTCTGTTGTTTCCTATTGCTATATTTTTGTCAATGTAAGAAAAGGACAAGAGTCTATTAAAGACCATTGTAAGATGATAGACAAGATACTTTCCTTAGACGTAATGTCTAGATTAGTCTCCTTTCTAATTATGTGACGAAAGTATTTTAGCTAGCTAAACTGCTGACGCTCTCAAGAAACAGTAGTGACAGCAATGATAACAACAATAACAAACAGTGTGCCATATGAGAAGCACAACAACAACATCACTACTATTTTAGCAAATGGTTAGACGATCAAGCCTATACTATTGCTTGGATGTCATTATATATGTTTCCAGAATTGGTCTGCTCTTGTCTTTTCTGTTTTCCTTTCATGCTATTCTGGATGAATGGCAGTGTGTATGTATACATGCATATGTATATATATATATATAATATTCTTCTATACTATATGCTTATTGAGGTTTACTCTGCCCTTGATGATACTATTGTTCCTATCTTTTGCTTTCGTCATGTCCGCCCAACAAGATTTATCAATCAATTAATCATAATCACGCAATGCAGCCTAAAGTATTGTGTCAACATTTTACTTATTCACTATATACTTATTATACGAACTAATCGTACCAGTACTCACGCACATAAATACACATACACAGTTGGCTTTAAGTCAACAAAAAGAAAAAAAAAACAAAACAAAATGTGAACAATCAATTATTCGATAAATTATTGTGTTCCTTTCTTTCTTTCTTTCTTTCTTTTTTTTGTTGTTATTGATTGTTATTTATCAATGTCAGCAAAATAGGATAAGAATTAAAAAAAAACCGATCACAAGTGGCCAACTATACTTATAGATCTCTAGAGAATTTATATTTTAAGTTTATATTTTCCATTTGTCGGGCAACAATAACAACAACAACATTGACATAGTATCATCAGTCGGTCACATGCCTATCATCATTAATAATGAAAAGCTAACAGTTAATCTCTCGACATGCTACCTATCGTGATATAAATGTTGAAAGCATCGTCAGCTATAATTCGAATACTAAATAAATTAGTTTAGCACTAAATTGACAAGCAACTATTTATCAAAAAAAAAAAAAAAAAGAAAGAAAAACACTATGCGCTAAGCAAATATAAAGACTTGCTTGACCTTTTTTTTTTTTTTTTCTTTGTCTTAAACAACATATGCTTATTTACGTCAACACTATTTCTCGTCTGGTGTTCTCGTCTTTCTTCTTTTTTTTTTTCCCCCCCTATTATATGATTGTGAACTCTTACAGATACTAATAAGTTAGTTGAATCAAATAAGGAAGAGGAGGAGGAGGAGTAGCAAGAAACGGATGGATATGAAACGAGCCGAGTCGATCCGATCCGATTCGAATCGTGCTCAATTCAACGGAAAAGGATTAATCGAAGCGTAGTTGATATGAATGAGAGATGCCAATGTAATAAATAATTTGAATTTATGCACTTGAACAAGCATAACACAATATAAATTATATTTGAAAAAAAATAAGAAACGACAGAAAAAAAAACATATCATAATTATTGTATATGTACGACATCTATCTATAATTTTATGTTCATTGGAATAAAGAATATATGATAGACATTGTCGTTAATAACAATGAGTTTTTATACGTTGATATTAGCGATAAAATTTATAATAATGACTTATTTGTTTTTTGTTCAATTCTTATTTCTCTTCTCTTTTTGATTGAACATTCTTATCTATTAATATATATAAATGTCACAAAATTCAGGACCATTTCTTGTTTCATCACATGGTCATCCAGGTTTTAATCCTCGACCACCACCACCACCACCACCACCGCTACCACCATCATCATCATCATTATCAACATCATCAAAACGAATAAGTAATGGTCTTATAAGTGGTTCTAGTCCAGGTAATACATCTATGGGACCTAATATAGGTCTTTCATCATCACCATCACCAATGCGATCAAGTGGTTCAATGGGTCCAATGAAAACATCTGGTATTGGTATAAATCCAATGGATAAATCTAATACAATGTCTTATTCAAATCGTTATAGTCGTAAAGCATGGCCTATATCACGTAGTATTCATGGTAAAATTTTAAATCTCGTTTTTTTTTTTTTATTAAAACAAAAAACAATGTTTTTTTAAATATTAAGATAAAAATATTCGTGGTCATGATGAACATGAAACATCATATCTTCGTCCAAATATTCCAAATGCAATTGATAATTTAAATAATTCATCATTTACAATTGAACCATCAACAGATGATGATGAATGTGATGATATTTATTTTTCATCACGTCATATTGCTGCTGCACGTTTTCAACGTAATCAACGTTTATTATGTGAAATATTTAATGATATATGTATACCTGATTTACGATCAAATATAAATGTTGATCGTATATTAACATTACGTCGACAAGTTGATGCACTTAAAATACATCGTGAAACATTTGAAAAAGATTTAAATGAATTAGAAGAAAAACATCAAGATAAAAAACGAAAATTTTTAGATTTAAATGAAAAATTTCATAATGAATATTCAGAAGCATCAACAATAAATTTAAGTCGTGAAAAAATTAATGAAATTTTATTAAAATATGAAACAATGGAAAAATTACAAAAAGAAAAACAATTACTTTTACAACAACAACAACAACAGCAGCAACAACAACAAACTACTATAACACCATCACAACAAATACCTCCAACTGTTCCACCACCACCAGCTAAAACTGAACCTACACCTACAGTAGAAGTTCCAGCACCACAACCACCTTCACATCCTATTCCAGCTCCAGTGCCACCACCACAACCTGTATCAATTCAATTACCACCTGTACAACCAGTTCCAACTCAATTACCACCTGTACAATCAGTTCCAACCCAATTACCACCTGTACAATCAGTTCCAGCTCAATTACCACCTGTACAATCAGTTCCAACTCTATTACCACCTGTACAATCAGTTCCAGCTCAATTACCACCACCAACTCAAATGCCTCCTGTACCATCATCACAACCTGCACAATCTCCAATGGCACCTACACAATCTCATTTACCTCCACCACAGCCAACACCTGTTATGCAACAATTACCACCACCGCAACAAGTTCAACCTCCACAACAACAACCACCGCCACCACCACCACCACCACCTCATCAAGGTTATCCAATGATGCATCAAGGAGGTGGTGGTTATCCACCAGCTCCTGCTTATGGTCATCCACAACAAGCACAACAATATCGACCACCACCACCAATGAATCAACGTCCAGCACAATATCCGCCAAATGTTCAATGGCAACAACAACAACAACAACCACCGCCGCCGCAACAACAACAACAATGGCAACCTAATGCATATGGTAATATCAACTTATACTCTCGCTGAGCTATGAGAGATTTACTATTGTTTGGTGACATGTGCAAAGAGTTTGACGTTAATAAGTAGAGCAAAAGTTATCATAGATTAAAAATTTCTATATGATTTTTTTTTTCAGAGAAATATGAGAGTTGCGAAAGCAAAATAAAAAAAAACGTGTTTCTAAGAAGGGAGGGATTCTCTTAAATGAATAGGATATACGTCAAGCAATGTAAGTTATTTCGGTACACAACGAATTTTTTTTCGATTAATGTACCATATTGAAAAGTCATAATCGATAGCAGATGGTAGACTAATTTATATGTCTTTCAATTATATTCCTTATTAGAGAGATAAATATACATGTTTTTGTATAAAATAAAAAAAATTCTATTTTTGTAATTCAAGATCCTCGATATTACAATCCATATCCTCCTAATGTTCAGTGGTCACAACAACAACCACAACAATGGCCAACAAATCAACCTCCACCTCAACAACAACAACAACAAATGGGTATGATGCAACAACAACAAGCACCACCACAAATGCGTCCTCCACCTCAACAACAACAACCACCACCTCCACCACACATGTATGTTAATGGTGTTAATTATGGCTATGGTGGTGGTCCAGTCGGTTGGAATGGTGGTCCACCACCACCTCCACATCCATCTCAACAATATGGTTATCCACAAAATCCACCTTATGATCCATCAGGTGTACCAGGACCACCTCCACAGCAACAATATTATCCACCACCACCACCACAAGGTTATGATTATGGTCCACCTCAACAACAACAAGTTCCTCCTCCTCCTCCTCAACAACAACCACCGCCACCACAAATGAACTGAGAATTATTGCAAAAAAAAAAAAAAATTTTTTTTTTGTTTGTTATATAGGAAGTTTTTCTTTATCTGTACAAAAAAACAAAACAAAATATTTGTCTGTATATCTTCAAAAGAAAAATATTTCATTCGTTAATGTTCTAGATTTTTTTTTTTTTTTGTTTTAAATTTCATTTATAGCATCAATTCATGTAGTACCAGAAAACAATTGGTCGTAGACAATTAAGCCAATCTGTTAGTACATTGTAAATAGAGTTTAGTTATCTATAGAGCATCAGCTGTTGCTATTGTTTATTATTCATTGGCAAAAACTTCTCTATTCTCTTTGAGATCAATGAAAAATGATTCAACATGTTACTTTTTTTTTTTACAATTCGAAAATGTGAAATAATTTTCTCTAATAGAAATAATAAAAATGAATATACACTTACTAATAATGGAAGGCATTCTACAAAAAAGAAAAAACAAGTAAATTAATAATATATAATAATCAGTATGATTCAAAATGATTTCAATAATATGGTTACAACGAAATTTCCCAGGAGATTTTTCGTCAAGAATTTTACTTGAAAAATAATTTATTATTCTTCTACAGAAATATTCAATCAACAATTTAATATATAAAAATTTTTCCATAAGATATCAAAATTATGAACTTATGAAAATTATCCTTTTGTAATTATTTTATATAATCTCTTTCGTATAATTAATTACATATTGATATTGCATGTTATACAAAATTTTTTATATTGTTGTTTTTTTTTTTTTTTTGTCCTTGATTAATTTCTAGTTAATCTTTGCATATAGTGATTGATGATATTCTACAAGATATCATGATCGAAAAAATTTTCTATTTATCAAATAGATTGAAATTTTCTAATCTTCAATTTAACATTAAATCTAATATAACAATAAAAATTTACAACATGGATTTGTCTCTATGTCTTTGAATTTTATTCATATATCATAATATGCATTGAAATAATTTTTTTTTCTTTTACACTCTTTTCTCTATTACAACATGGAACAGCACATAATAAGCTTCTAAAAACATTTGTATAAATTTTATATTCAAAAAGTTAATTTAGTTCTTCATTTTAATATCAATATCGATCATATACATATAAGTGTCTTAAAGGAGTCAATGCATATATATATATATACTTGTGTGCATGTTCAAGCATATTCCTATTGACCCTCAATCACTCTTATACTATGTTTACTTTGAGCATTAAAATGTCCTTGTGAACAGCTAAAGAGAATGAGAGCCAGGGACAAATGAAAAAGAGAAAAACTCTTTTTTTTTTCTTCTACTGACAAGTATGAGCAGATACAAGAACAACAAAAAAAGAAAAGTGACGAGAGAGAGAGAGAGAAAGAAAAATGTACAAACAGTTTTTGCATAATCATTTTCATATATACGATTTGAGACGCGTGTATCTTCAATTTCATCATATAAAAAAATGCATTCGTTGTTCTTTTGTATCCTCATATATATATAAAATGGCCTTGAGAAAACGGACACGTTTTATACTTGTACAAAGTACAAGTAATGCTAATGTAAATGAAGATAATATGGAACCATATCATATAAGTATATTTCGACGTTCAACATCAATGCCACCATTACCAAAATTATCATCATCAAAGAAAATTAATTTTTCTCAACGCGAACAACAACAACACCAACAATCTATTGTAGTTTCAAAATATCAACGACATGAAAAAGATGAAACATTAACAAATAAATTTTATAAATTAAATATTCATACAATGAAAAAAAAATCTGCACGAATTAGTATGCGTTTATCAAATGCATTTGGTTTATCAGTACATACAATTGATGAACAATTTAATTTTCAAGAACAACGTTTTCGTGCTATTGAAAAATTTTCAAAATTATTTCTACGAAATATTTATTCATGTATTGAAGCACTTAGGGTAAATTCAATTCATTTATAGCAATAACAAAAAAAAAAAGAAACAAACGAAAGTTATCAACCGAAATACAGTCGTCAGAAATGATATTAAATCAAGTCAGGATCTCAACACTTTGAATGGATGGACGGTTGAATTCAAAATTTTCGGACTCGGACTAAGTTCCTATCTGATTACGCTACTAAATCTTACGAGGGAACATATTCAACTGTCAAATCGCTTTTGAATCGAGCATGTGCGCAAACGATAGATCTCAATGAGTTATTAAATGCCTTAGAATAGTTTGATTTTTCAGCATTCTGTTGTCAAGTTATGGGCATAAGATTCTTCTGAGTACCTGAATAATCGAATTTCAAACTGAAATTTTGCCCATAGATAGACCTTATAAGCACTAGGAACTTTCCAAAGTTTGAGCTAGAACGAACGCATCCTTATCGAGATATCAACTCGTCATGGAAATGTCTCTATTTTGAAACACAGCTTAAAACAGGCGTTTCTTTAAAATGTGAATATCTCGATAAGGATACATTCATTCTGGCTCAAACATTGGGGTGTTTCTAGTGCTTATAAGGTCTATCTATGGGCAAAATTTCAGTTTGAAATTCGATTATTCAGGTACTCAGAAGAATCTTATGCCCATAGCTTGACAACAGAATGCTGGAAAACCAAACCATTCTAAGGCATTTAATAACTCACTGAGATCTATCGTTTGCGCGTATGCTCGATCCAAAAGCGATTTGACAGTTGGATATGTTCCCTCGTTAGCATTATAAAACATAAGGAAATTTCGGATTGGGATAATTTATTTTTCTAAGTGAATACAATTTGATTCTTAACACCTTCAAGGCGATGGGACCCACTGTAGGGCGGTCCAAAAGCTCATTTATCGTACAAAAAAACTGAATATCTCTGCTATACTAGGACCAAAGAGGCTGATCTTTTACCACTGATAAAGGAATGTTCGTAGCCTATATTGATGAGAGAAACGTTGATAAAAGTTGTTTTAACGTACTACAGTTACTACAAATGAAACCTTTCACGAATTATGAAGAAGCAATAGTCCTCTTGCCACGCATAGGCTCAGCATGAGCGAGAGCAAACGTGTTTACTTTCGAAATTTCTTTGTCTAGCTAGATGTTTCTAATATATTTTCAAGAGAAAAATTTTTAATTAAATCAATTTTATTAATTTTTTAATGACCTATAAAAACAACAATTTAATTCTTCTAGGAAAGTTTTATAACACAAGTTGATGTTGCCGAAGATTTTGAAGAATTATTAATCGATAAAATACCTGATTTAGCTCAACAATTTCTTCGATTAAAACGTTCATTACTTGAACATACTTTTACAGAATTTGTAAGTATTATTTTTTTACTCCATATTTCTACTGAGTGCAAGGGTATCCTACTATCACTGTTAAATACTCATGAAATAAGACAATTCTCAGCAAGATTCTCTAATATACTGATAATAGAATATTTTATTGACAAATAATCCAGTACATGCACATCTCAAACTCAGTGATTTTATTTTTGTTGTTATTTATAATAATTATTTTTATTAAATAGTGTAATCATATTGAATTATATGTTTTTCAACCAATAAATACTTTAATACAATTATTTACTCGACCAACAAATCTTATTTCGAAAAGACATAAAAAATTATTAGATTATGATAGTGCACAATCAGCTTATGAAAAAGTTAAAGATCAACAATTAAAACAAGTATAAACAAAAAAATTATTTATTTATTTTTTAATAATTTTATTCAAAAAAAAATATCTAGGCTAAACAAACACTTAATTTATCAAAACAAACATATGAATTATTAAATAATCAATTATTAGAAGAATTACCTATTTTATATGAATATAGTTGTCAAATATTATCAATATGTTTAAAAGAATTTCTACATGGACATTTATATTTAATGCAACAAATGCGAATAAATATTCAAATTGTACTTAATCAAGTATAAAAATATATAATTTATTTTGATATTCTTATTAGAAATTTTATTTTTTTTTTAAAATAATAGATAATACCACTTATTAATTTTCAACAATTAAATTGGCAAGAAATTGTTAATCGTTTTATTGTAAAAAATAATACAGCTACTGAAGGATTAAATCAATTAATAATAACATCAAAGAATTTTTCTGAAAGAATAAAAAATTTATCAACTATACAATTATCTTCAATAATGAGTAATCTTTATAATTCTGATAAAGTTTGTTTGTTTTTTTTTTTGTTGATATTTATTATATTTTATTGATATATTTATTAATTAGGATACATATATACAAACAGATGAAATACGAAATTTATTAAAAAATAATTATCCAGAACAAGATTTATTTATTGTTATTCAAGATTATACTAGTAATTCTTATAATAATCAATTAACAAATTCAAAATCAGATTTTAGTGTTCGAAATGTAAGCAAAATTTATCTTATATAATTCGAATCGGATAAAAAAAAAACCGTCCGCTATTTTCTCTCAATAGATATTCTCCAATCGGAAATCTACTAGACTATATATGTAAAATCACTGTTAATGAAATACTATGAAACTAATAGTGTCGAGCATAGAAATTTTACAGAGACCAAATATCGCGATAAGTGTTACCGTCAACATACGATACTGTATCGCTGGCAGAGCCCATCGGGTTCAAGAATTTCTGGTTCCGGACTACCCTAGTCGACTCTCCCCAACGAAATCATCGAAGAGTCCCCTGAAAAATGCGAAATCTCTGTCATGAGTCCTCGAGGGAGTTGCATATCTCAGGATCTCCCTAAAACTTCCCGGTGAGTCCCTCTATAATTTTCATAAATATGAATTTTTCAGAGAATTCCAAGGGTGGCTTCTGAAGAGATCCTGATAATACTCATCAATTTCCTGGGGAGTCCCTAGGAAGTCTCTGGGAAATCCCTATGGATTTCCCCGATATGCTCTAATCGCCGCTAACGTTAAAGTAAATTGTCCTTTATTCATTTTCATGTAGTCTATGGTCATTATTTCTCCTTATAGGGTGTGACAAAATCATTACGCCTTCCTGTACAACTTAATGCATAATTGATATCGCAAAGTATTTTATATCAAATTAATGTTCATGAAAAATTAGATTTATGAGTATAATGAAAACAATTATTGCCTATGAAATTATTGAAATATCTTGAACACATTTGTATGACCTTCTTCAGCAACTTTGAGAGCATGAAATCTTTTTTCTCATTGAGTCAGATCTAAAGAAATTTTTGTCTTGAATAACTCCTAGGATTTTTTTCCTCAAAAATATACAAATGACATTTCCCCAGTTTTTGATGATCATTAATTTGGTATAAAATACTTTTATATTTTAAGTTATTGTAGAGGAAGGTGTAATGATTTTGTTACACCCTGTGTATTGATTGATTGAGTTTCTATTAAAATAACTAATGTGTAAAGAAAAGAAAAAAAAGTCGTTGCATAATATGTGTCTAATCGATTTTTGTTTATTTATAAACCATGAAAAAGAATCCAAAGCAATCAACTAGAATGAATATTTCATGCTCTTTTTAACAATTGTTTTTTTTTTTTTTCTTGTCTCTGGCTTAAATTTAGTTCATTGAGAACAAATATTTTATGATGAACAAAAATGATGTTTATACAGAACGTTAAATAAAATAGTGTTGAGAAATATATTTACTCATTTTTCGGACACATATAAATGTCATTGGAGAAGATCAAAGACAATGAGTAAAATTTGATGCTTATGGTTAATTAGTTATAAGCAAATAAGATTCTATTCAGACGTTATTGTTAGTTTCTGTCAAAGCGTTGATCCCAAAAATTAAAAATGTAGTAAATAATTCTAAAATGTTATTTTATTGTTTTAAATAATTTTTCTTATTAAATAGGGTGATCTTGTTATTATTCTTAATCAACATGATAAGAATAATATCAATTCAAATTGTTTTGTTGATAATGGAGGTATGAATTCATTTATGTTTTATTCTTTTGTATTTAGAAAATAAATATTTCTATTTTGTTTAGTTGCACGAGGTTATCTACCTCGTTCAATTCTTATTCCATTATTATCTAATAATCAATCAGAAGTTCTTTCTTCTATACCAATTTGTCATGATATATCAGTATTTTCACAAATTTCTTTACCATTATCTCATGTAAATTCAAGATTAAATAATGAACAACCTCGAAAAATTTTAACAGAACCTGAAATATGTTTAATTAATTCTTCTCATAATTTAGAAAATGAAAATGAACCAATTTATTTAAATCAACTTAATTATCAATTATCAACAATTGAAATTGATGAAACACATCAATATGCTTCAATTGATTTTGATGATTCAATTATACCTATCTCGAATGAACAAGAACGAGTATAAATAATAATAATAATAATAAAACAAATATATATTTTTGTTTTTTTTTACTCTCTTGAAATTTTTTTTGTTTATAGATTTATATTGCATTATATGATTTTGATTGTACAATTGATGGTGTTCTTTGTTTACATATTGGTGAACAATTAAAAGTTTTACAATATTCAGATGATGATCAAAATAAAGAATGGTGGTATGTGGAAAAAATTAATGATACAAGACAACGTGGTTATGTACCTGCAAATTATATTCAAGCTGTTTAAAAAAAAATTTAATTAGTTATATATGTGTGTGTGTGTGTGTGTGTGTATTTCATATGATTGAATGATTTTGTTTTTATATACCATTTTTGATAGAGAATTAAAAGTTGTGAATCTTCTTTCCGATTTCAATGATTTTTTTTTTGTCTATAGATGCTACATAGTGTTCTAATAAAAGCACGAATTTCTATTCTGAGCTTTCGAATTTTTGCATATTAAGAACTTAATTAGAGTAAGTTCTATTTAAAAAAATACACTATCCATGGAATAGGATTGTTGTTTAAAACTTCGGAATTTTTTTATGAAAGCTATTCTAATTGAATTCTCTATATGTGCAAAGTTTCTAAAATACAGGCTTTTCGAAAGCCTGAGACCTCTAGCAAAACAAAAATCGATAACTCTCAATAGGAATCCAGTTTTTATTAGAATACTATTCTCTATTAAGCTCTGTAAACACATTTTTTCTTTTGATAAGCATATAGTATTATTCGTTATTAAGTTGAAAAATAATCTTGAGAATGCTTCCGGAGTCTTGAAAGCATGATAGAAATATTGAGTAAAAAAGTTCTATATCGAATGATATAAAAAACAAAATCTTTGAATTATGTTTGTACTGCTCGAAAAAAAAAACCAGAAAGTCTCCTATTCTTTATGTATCATTCGTTAGTAATTGTTTTTTTTTCATCTTCTTTATTTATTTTTGTTTTAAATTAATAAACTGAATTAACGAGAATGTGAACATGGAGAATTTTATCATATACGTATATTTTATTCGAATATTCCACATAGTGTAAATTCATTGGCTGATATTCAATATACATCTTAGATCTTTCATTTATTTATTTTCGATAATTGGTTTATAAAATATTGTTACTTACAAAATAGACATGGCTATTTTATAATTTAACTTCGTAGTTAAAGTAAATGCGTAAAAGATATGAATGATGAGTTCGCTTTTTTTAGCAAAGCAGAATGAATAATACCAAACATTTGCATTTAGTTGATAGTCGCGCATACTCTATGATAAGTGCATAACTGTCGTAAACCTATATTGAGAAAATAAGAAAGATTAGTAGCTTTATTAGTCCTTTTTTTTCTCTATGTATTACTTAAAACACAATAGAAATCATGAGATCAAAATAAAACTATTGTTTCTGTAAGGTATAGAATATTATTTTAATATGTCCTTGAAATTTCAATTAGATTTTTTTTTTTTTTTTTTTCGTTTTTGCCTCTAAGGACTTTTGATATTTAGATAAGAATTATATTTCTATTCAAGGTTAAATAGAATAGAAATAAAATAAGATAAGAAAACATTTATACTATTGAAAATGACGACGAAATATGGATTTTATTATAAAGAAGGTTATGATGACCCATTATGTATTGATCAAACATCCGTTAAACAATTTATTGAACGTTTATCTTCACCACCAACACCATTTTTACTCTATAGTTTTGAACAATTTCGTCATAATATTGATACATATCAACAAGAACTTAAAAATCTTGCACCAATTCGTAGTCGATTATCATATTCAATGAAAGCTAATTATAATCCACATTTATTATCAATATTAAAATCTGCAAAAGTTATGTTAACAACAGTTAGTGGTGGTGAAATGCAATTAGCATTATCAAATGGTTTTGAAGTAAATTTATGAAAATAATAAATCAATTTTGTTTTGTTTTTTGTTCTATATTTCTTAGCCATCATCTATTATCTATAATGGAAATGGAAAAACTGATGAAAGTATTGAAATGGCTATTGATGCTGGTGTTTTACTTAATGTTGATAGTTTATTTGATCTTGAAATAATACTTGAATATGCACGTCAATTAAATAAAATAGCTAATGTACTTATACGAGTTAATCCAAACCTTAGTGATACAAATGTACATGCATATAATACAACAGCATCTAAAACAAGTAAATTTGGTACAAATATTGATGAATTAGAACCAATTTATAATTTAATTGAAGAAAATCATGATAAATGGATACGTTTATATGGTTTTCATTGTCATTTAGGTTCAACTATATCAAATACACAAATTATAACTGAATGTGTTCAAAAATTAATTCCATTATTTGATATTAAACGTTTTCCTCATCTTCGTTTACTTAATATAGGTGGTGGATTAAATATTGATTATAAACGTTATGCTCAACGTACAAAAAATGATAATAATGATGATATAAAAATTCCAACAATAGAAGATTATATTCAATCAATAAAAGAACCTTTACAATTATTGCCTAATACAATTGAATTAATTGTTGAACCTGGACGAAGTTTAATTGCAAATTCATGTATACTTATAACACGTGTACTTGGACAAAAATCTACAGGTTCTATACAACAACTTGTTGTTGATGCATCTATGACTGAATGTATTCGTCCAGCTCTTTATCAAGCATATCATCATATTGATACAATTAATTCTTTATCTACAGACGAGCGTATACCATTTGATGTTGTTGGACCTGTATGTGAAAGTGGAGATTTTCTTGGTAAACAACGTTGTTTACCAAATACATTAAAACGTGGAGATTTTCTTGCTATTTTTGATGTTGGTGCTTATTGTTCATCTATGAGTTCGAATTATAATATGAGACCACGACCAGCTGAATATACATTAGATGAACATGAACATATAAAAGTATTAAAAAAACGAGAAACAAATGAAGATCTTTTACGATCTTTTTATGTTGAATAGAAGCTGTTCTTTTTGATTTTTTCTATTTTGATAAAAAGAATAAAAATTTGTTTCATGATTAATGAATCTGACGACAATTAGTAATTGTCTTGATATGCAAAGAGAACACGATAACGTTTGATTATGGACGATATAGTATTAGTTCGAACACTTGATGACAGTGTCGACATTATGTAGCCTTTTTTTCTCCATCAATATTGAGATAAGATGACATTTCAATTATTCAGAATTTCGTTTTTTTTTTTTTCTTTTTCGTTATTCTCACCTTGCAACCTTATGAATAAAAAGCAAACGAAATTGATTTTCTTTTGTGCATAGAATATATTTTAACATATTAAATTATTGATGAGAAAAGAATATAATCATTATTCACGTTCAGACAACAATAACAACAACAGTCTCGTATATATTTCATTCTTCGATTTGAACTTTTATGTCAACGTAGAACAAAAAAAGAAAAATTGTACAATAGAGTTCACCATCATCATCATCATACGGTCAACTCCCTTGCGACAATAGTTGACCATCGATTATATGTCTACTTTGTATATATAATTTTTTTTCTTTCTGTCTGTCTGTACAATAAAATCTATTCTATTCTGTCCTGTATTACAGAATTTGTTCTATATACATATATATATCTATTTACTCCTCCCTGCTGATGATTTGAAAGCAAAGAAGTATAAAGAGAGAAAATAAGACCTAGTAAACGAGGAAAGAGGAGATTAATAATATAACATCAACATGGATATGTTTTATATTATTTAGGTTAGACATTGAAGTTGATCTGTAAAACTATGAATCTCTTATATTTATATATCTTATATTTAATTATTATTATTTGTTATGCTGGTCCTATTGAAGATATATCAGCTATGCCTGATTTAAGTTTAGTAAGTTTTTATTGTAAAAAAAAACAAAAAAATCTTTTTGCTATTCAAATACATAAATTTTAAAAAACAAAAAACATCAATTTTAGTTTTATCAACAATTAATTCGTCAACCAGATTTACAAGGTTTATTACAAGATGCTTATCAATCTTCACAACCAAATAATATTGGTGAATTTACTATATTTGCTCCAAATAATGATGCTATGACACGTATTAATCGAAGAAATGAAGATCCAAATTTTTTATGGAAATATCATATTGTACCTGGTCGTTATGATGATCAAAGAATATTTAATATGGCACAAGAAAAATTTAGTCAAGTTCATCCAAGTCAAATGACTAATGTTCGAGCACAAAATAATTTACCAACTATGGCTTTACCATTTCAAGTATGAAAAAAAACCAAAATCTCAACCAGTTTTTTTTTCTCCATCAAAAACTACTTATAATGGACATTCAAATCGATTCAGTTTTGAGGATAGAAATTGTTTTTTTCTCCAGCGAAATTTTATCGAAGAATAGAAAAACTTTCAAAAATATAATATTAAATGCAGAATTGAATGGGATATATTTTTAAAAAAAAAACTATTGATTATAGTGATTAAATATCTATTATTATTATTAATTAAAAGTTACAAAAAAAATCTTGTAATAATTTCAGTTTTACAACAAACTAGTCTTAATGAAATTTTTTTAAACACTCTTTGAAAAGCAATACATTTTGCAGAACAAAGTTTGTTCTATCAAACGCGACCTAGCCGCGCTTTTGTTAACAATGCAACCTTCAAGTGAGATAATGTTTCCAATTTTTACCTGAAATTTCAACGATGATTTCTCTAGCTATTGTTTGTTTTGTATTGGTTGAATTGTTTTCAACATGCGGTGTCTCATGAGATACACCGACATAAAAGCCCTAGACGGTTGAACTTTTTTCATATGCAACTTCGCTCATCATACGTACATTGTTTGGTAGTATCTAACGACATCTAAAGCAGAAGGTTAAGCTGTAAAATTAATTAAATGTCTTTCATACGAACAAATCGATGAACATCTAGAATACTTAATAAGTAATTTTCTTGTATATACAAGACAAGAATATTTCAAGAGAGCGAGAATTTTATTTAATTTCTAGTTTTTATTTTAAATATAGGGTGTCCGGAAAGTCCTTAGAGTTACAAAAACTTGGATGTCTCCATTATGGTTGGACTGAACGAGCTCATTTTTCTAACAAAGATTGAGGCATGTTCACACTCCAAATTCATATGGACAAGGGTATTGAGAATCTTTGTTAAGTATCACTATTGACCTCAACAAGAAAATTTTACTGTTTCACAGTTAGGAAAACAAACATTACACAGGATAGGGCAAAAGACACTTTATTGAAAAGACAATTGACTCTCTTCATTATAGCTTGAGCGAACCAACTGATATTTTTACCCAGGATAGAGGCATATCCACACTCCAAATCCATACTGACAAAGTTAGTGAGAACCTTTGTTAAGTATATGGTTTTTCTTCCTCTCTGTGGAACAGTAAAATTTTCTTGTTAAGGTCAATAGTGATACTTAACAAAGATTCTCAATACTCTTGTCCATATGGATTTGGAGTGTGAACGTGCCTCAATCTTTGTTTAAAAAATGAGCTCGTTTGGTTGAGCCGTAAAGGAGATATGAAAATTTTCCTAACTCTAAGGACTTTCCGGACACCCTATATTATAATTTTTTTATATTGAAAACTCAAGTATCGGAGCTCAATTATCGTGTCATTGTCTAATGAACAGCATATTGTACAGAGAGTCGCTTGGTCTTATTCGATAGAACAAACTCTACTGTACAAAATACATTGCTTTTTAAAGTTTTTGAAACTTGTTTTGAAAGCTCAATTTTCTAAATGTTCTTTCTTATGGTGTACTTAAAAAACTGAAAATTATATCAAGATTCTGCATCTCTTAGTATTAAGTAGTCTTTGATAGAAAACTAGCTTAAACGTCCCTTACCCCAATTTATATTATTTAGGTATTCTATGGTTTTGGTTTTTATGGTGGAACAGGTCCATATATAAATGCAAATTATGATAATACTGGTTATAATTCAGTTGGATTACCATGGTTACCACAAACACCAAATACAACAAAAATGTTTCAAAATATTGCTCCACTTAATCCATATCTTGGTATTAATAAATTTAAATTTAGAAAAAGAATATCGTTTGTTTTTTTATTAAGTGAATATGAATAATTATAATCCAAATCAACCTACCCAACCTTATGTTGTTGCACAAGGTAATTGATTTTGAATTAGAAATCTTTATTTGTTTTTGTTTTAGGTAGTTTATCATCGAATAATCCAAATTTATTTCCACAAAATCTAACAAATTATTATACAAATGTATTTAATCCAAATGTGAATGCACAATTTCTTCAAAATATTAATCCACCATTAACACATTTTCATTCTAATGTACAACTACCTTCAGGACATGCTCCCATAGGTACTGCTAGTATTGGTATACCAGTAAGTGTTTTTGAATAAAAAAAGAAAAGACTAAAAACTATGCTTGTTAAAATGAGATTTATTTGATCGATCGAAATTGTTTTTCTATATTAAAGAATTAATAAGTCTCCGAATACCTTTTGAATTATTTGTGTGTATATAACGGATGATTAGAAAATTTTTAGATAAGATATTTGATCAGTTAGAAAGTGTTTCCGATTAGTTTAAAATTATGAATTATCATGCTCTTTTCGAATATGAACTTAAGAAAAATGATTAACTAAGCTATAATCATTTTTTGTAAAATTATGATGCTGTATGAGATTATCAAACGATATTTGATCGAATATTTTACATCAGAGATTGTGAACGATCAATTTGCATTAACAAAAAGATTTCATTTTATTTTAAATTTATATAAAATTTTAAAAAATTCAATAAATTCCAAATAATTTAACCCTTTGAGGCTTAGTGTGATATATATTTTCCACCTTGAGAATTTTGAAATCGTCGAGTTTTTGAGGATCTTGGAAAAATATTTTCAATCAATGTTAGAAGCTAGCAGAGGTCCATACAAGACTGATTGGATAGTAGAGTGTATGGATGACATTGAAAAACGTATCTTGTGAAGTTTTGACCTCATGGGGGGAGGCAGAATGCTTCTATCGAGAGTGTACATCGAATTCATTGGAATGGAATGAAACTTTCAGGACATGTAGGACCCGTACCTGTAAGCATAGCTGTAGGTTCGAAAAAATTGAAAACCTTGTGAAGAGGTTCAAATAGGGAGGACAAGGTAGACCTCTCAGCCAAATTCGACCTTATCTAGTTCCTCTATTACAAATGCGAGAAGTGTGAAAATTTTACCATAGATACCACTCGTTGAGGTGATCACTTTTTGTAGTGGATGTTTTTTCCTCAATGTTCTGTTTTTTTGTGAAAAAACCTATAGAAAATGCTAATTTTTGACGTTTTTTGGGCTGAAATATCTCTATGAAGCCCAAACAGAATTTTAACTTTTATTAGTGCTCTAGAATTGACTAACTGTTCTCTATTTAATGCTGAAATCCCCAAGTCTGTAGCTTGTTCCTGAGTCAAATGGCAAAGCCATCTTCGGAGCCTACTCTCGAATTTTCCCCAACTTTGCATCCTTCTTCAGATAAAAACACGAGATTACAAAAATCTGTCCTTTATTGGAACTTTATCAGTACACCTAGCCCTACCATTTCTGGCGGTTTCATCAAATTAGGTTCGGTAGAAAAAATTCAGGACTCAAAGGATTAAATTATGTCTAAACATACTTTAAATTTCATTTTGTATAATTATCTATAGAAATCAAAAGAAATCTTTTATCTCTCAGGTGTACTAGCAAAGGTATCTATACAAGTTTTTTTTTTATTATCATTAGAAAATAACAGGAACGGAGCGCGATCGTTTTCTTATTGAATTTTTTATAGTGATCGATCGGATCAGTTTCTCTTCTTACTTCTGACATATTTTTCTTGAAGTCAATGTATTTTGACAATTGGATTATTGAATTTTAATTCACAAAAATTTATTATTTCTATACATTAATTCTCAAAAATTTAAATTTATATTAACCAACAGTTTTAGT